TATATACTTGCAAAAAACAACAAATTATATTTTATTAAATGTTTATTTAATAAATGATAAAAATATATACTTGCAAAAAACAATAAATTATATTTTATTAAATTGACATTTGTTAAATTTTACAAATTTGAAATACTTCATATTCGTCTATAGAAAACCAACCACATCTATTTGTTATTGACTTTTCATGATGAGATTTTCCACAACGCCACTGTTTAACATTTATTCCCATTCCAAAGTCATTACTAAACCATGGACCATAGAGTATTTGACCATAAAAAATTGCTTTACCACATGATTTATGTTTTACACGGCTAAGAATAGATTGATTCAGATTTCCATTTTTCAAAGAGAAAATAAAACTATCTAATGTTGTTGCAAACTCACTGTTATCATTGTTAATTTTCCAGATAAGAGGATTATAACCACCAAGTATTTCATTCGTACGATCAATCTTTATAACAATCACAGTACCGGGTATATTATCACATAGCTTATGAAATATATCACCTGTATATCCATCTCTACTGCCTCTAAGTAAAAGTTTAAATTCATATGGAATTTCGGTAGTATCATAAATTATCGAACGTCGATCGATCCATGATGAAATTTCTGCTGCATGCTCTAATGTGATTATAGAAGAAGAAGGTATATTGATTGATGCTTTTATAGGAAGAGGTTGTACTGCTTTTTTTTTACGAGGAGGTAAAATTAGAGATGTGATAAGTATATCTGGGTCTATTGACCTTGAAATAATTTCATCCCATACAGTTTCTTCAAGAATTTTACGGTAAGGCTTGAGTTTCTTTAAAACTTGTTTACCAGGAATTTGAAAATATCTAATATGAGGAAGACAGTGTTGAAGAGTAGTTTTTAAAAACTTAAAGTTCTCATCTGTCCATTCCTCAAAGTTAGATGGTAAATCTGGAGTTCTTGCTTTTCCCCATTGAATAACTTTATCCCAAATTTCGGATTCATCCATTTGCAAATCACCTCGCTTTAAAAGAGCAATCAACGCAGACTCCTTAAGTGCGTTAAAATCATCTGAATTAAAAATCATGCTAGGGTGTTTTGCAAGAATGTTACTGCAAAATTGTTGTAAAGCTTTAAAGTTTTCATTATCGAAACTTATTTGATAAATTCGAGAAAAATTTAAACGAAGCCAAGATACATTATTATCAATAAGATAAGATTGAATATGTTCAACTAATTCCGTAAGCTTAAATTCATTTATAGCGATTAATAAATCAAATACGGCTGAGGCTTCTAAGTTTTCCAAAGAAATTATGCCACTGTAGATATATCTACATAATATCACAAATAGCAAAAAATATGTAAAATTCTTACTATTTTTTGCAATAGAATTAAATAAGCATACTATTAGTTTAATAATTTACCTAATAATAATTTCAAATTCTTTGACGGAATAATTTGGTATTTTAATTTCAATAATGCTGTTTTTTTTAATCGCACTTGTCAATTTTTGACGAAAATACAATGAACGTTGATATAAAATTGCTGAATGTGCTTTAAAAAATTTAATATTTGGTTGTTCACCAACTTCAATAACTACATTATAATCATACTCATTTTCAAGAAGTTGTGTAAAGTCTTGAGAAAGTTGGTCAAGAATTTTTACGCTCATTTTTTTACTATTTCGGATAGTACTGCATCAGTGTGCTTAATATAGTATGTATATACATGAGTTGATTCATAATTGTCGTAACACAATTATTTCAAGTTTTTATCTATTACAATATTATTTAAATAAAAATCATTCCTTCAAAATATTTGACAGGTTTACTGTCACGTGATAATCGGAAAACAAATATCGTCAAACATAAAAACTTTATTTATATTTGGGGTTGGATTTAAGAGAATTAGAAAGAGTAGTTATATAGTAAAATTGCACGAGGAAGATAGTTTACTGGTTAAATTTCAAGCAATTGAAATTTTTTACGTTACACCTGCTCCTGAGTTTTAATTGGCTGATAGACGTCAGAAAATCATGTGACAGTAAAAATCGATCCTGCCCTGGCATTGTTACCTGATTTGGAATAATTGAATTCACGGCACGTGCAAGATTTTCATCCAATTCCTGGTTTAGTTTTTCGCTTTAAGTGTTAAAAATGCCAGCCGTATGCGAAGAGGCGTTATCGTGATTAAACATGACATTCATTATGGTTTGTCTTTCTCTTTTTTTTTTTAAAAAAAAAAAATATTAAACACTTCAGGCAATATTAACATATGCTTGGAATTAACTTTACAAGACACAGAAAAAAAAACCAGAACATTCGCTTTTTATTGTTATAGACGTCCGAACAATTTGTGACCGGCCTTTTCCCTTTATAATCCATTGTATTATTATTATTATTATTATTATTTAGATATAGTGATCCATGTTTCATTACCAGCAACTACCTTTTAGAACATTTTCAAAAGCTTTACGAAACTCAATCAGAACCCACTTTGTAAATACCTTGACATATCTAATTCATTAGTGATCCGGGCTTAAGAGATGCCAATGAGATCAGTCAATACTCTGATAGCAGCATGGAGTTTCTCAATTGCCAATTCATTAACATTGGTAATTGTTTGTGGAGTGGTTTCTTGATGGGAACGCCCGGGCGAGGATTGTCTTTAACGGATTCATTCTATTATTGAATACTACAGCTAGATTATGTTACACGATACTTGCAATGTACAATAATAATTTTTTACTAAGCCTTGATCGGCATGCAGTAGATACGACTTCAATGACACAACTTATGATATTACAAACTGAGAGGTCCATGCATTATCGTTATTAGTAATAACAGCAATCTAAATTCAAGGTATTATATAATATATAAGATACAGTTATGTGATAGAACTTTCAGCAGAATTCTACGTGAAATATTATCTTTCTATGGTATGAAATAAAGATTCAAGTTGATTAAATGTTAAATTCATTGGTCGTAAAATGATGGGAAACAAATTATTCTTCCACAATGTGAAAATCGACAATATGGAACTAAATATTTATTTTCCATTGAAGAGTACGTCACAAACTCTTTACAGTAAGACCTCCCTAAGTGCATACTCGCCCTATGTAAATTCTCTCTAAAATGCACGACATAGCCCCCAACTTATACCGTACCATTCCGAAATTAAGCACCCCTTTTTTGTTATAAGAGATGCTTATTTTCAGATATAATTTTTAAAATAATAATACAGGTTTTGTGTTAAGTAAACCTTCCTACTATTTCTAAGTAAGGATATTCTACAGGTCAAGACGATTCTAACGATGGTAAAATCGCCAAAATTGATCCAGTAGAACTTTAGTAATTGCTCTTCAAAATTCAGTCGACGTTTGTTTACTTGCTTACATGATCTGTAGTCATGTAAGTAAATGTTGCCTGAACTTTGAAGAATAATTGTAAAAGTTCTAATGAATCGATTTTGATAATTTTACCATCATTAGAATCGTCGACCATTTTCTACAGGGGGATCCCCAGATTTCCGGGTCGGAATGGCCGGAATGCGTCGTGGTTAGGGTCGGGTTAGGGCTGAGTTAGGGTTAGCGGGACTATAGGCTATAGTAAAATTATCAGCTGGGCACTTTTCACTTAATGAACGACTATTGTTTCATTACTAAAAATTCTTAGTGATCTTGGGGCAAAATTGATCAACTCCGGCCCTTCCGGCAAGAGTTCCGAAGCGTCCGACCCGGAATTTTGGGATCTCCCTGTAGGAGTTGTCTTGACCTGGAGAATATCTAGACTTGTTTAGTAAATAATCCGATACGATTATACTTAGGGGGGTGCTTATTTTTGAATATTATACAAAATTTGGTGGTGCTTGATTTCGGAATGGTACGGTAATAGCATTGTATATTTTGTTCGCTATAAATGCACACATTCTTTAAGTGCACATTTTGCTTTCTTTTTACTATGGTCCCGAGGGGGTGAACTTAGGGAGGTCTTACTGTATATGCTTTAAGCCAGTACATTATGTACAGTAGTTACATATAATCTTTGGTAAATTAACAAGTTATTGGTGTTTATTTTATTTAAATTCTAGCATATGTACATTGAAATGAATGAATCTAATGAATTCATTGTTTTATAGTATCAGAAAAAATTAAATCGATTTATAAAGTTGTTTAAATGTGATATACAAAGTAACTATCCATTTCGTAACTTGAAGAATGTTTTTTGATAAATTTTTTGGATATCAATATTTAGCTGACATTCTAGTGATAATGCATGGTTGAATCCATGTCTGAAGTTATGCTATCCTTTTATTGGTGTTGTTTCAAAAAATTAATAGAATTAAGGTGAATTTAAGATTGGTTTAAGCATTAAGAATTCTAATGCAATTTGAATGTGATACAAAATGGGATGAATAATTTTTCACGATGAGGTGGTGTGTGATTGATACCCATCAAGAGGATAAAAAATATCATATGTGTGCAAAACCTTGAGATTTTTTTAATGTTTTAAAGAATAATGTAAATTTTAATCATAATTAAAAGAAAATGAAAATCATTCGCACTGCGATATCAAAGAGTATTCCTGCGCATAATCATTCGTATATTCCTGCGTACGTAACGTACACATATATTTATAATATGGGCAAGCCAACATTCCTAATATACAAGCGCAAATAAAATTTACAAAGAAAATTACTGTACGTACGTAGTCGCCTCCGAAAGTTTAACAGTTACACAAAATAATATACAAATCAACGATGAATACAACTGACTCTTGATATAAAAAGTTACCAGGTCCAATCTTTCTTATATCGAGACTTTCTCATATTGAAGACTTTTTTTATAAAAATTTTCAATTGGGACTTGTAAAATCTTTCTTATGTATACTAAGAGTTACTTACATCGAAGGTTTCTATATCGTGAGTATAATTAACATAGATTTGTGTTATGTTTTCGTGTAATCGCGCTAAACTTTCGGATGCGACTGTATGTACGAACGTACCATCACTACTCACACCAAAATTTGATGTTGCCTTCACAAAAAAAAGTTATTCGTCTGCGAGGAGATTATAGTAGAGATACATTCGTTCCTTCATTAGACTTGGTTATGAATATACATACTCAGATATTATCAATTTTTGAAAATGCAAAATGTAATGAAAAGATATGTATGATTTCATCAGATCGTGTTGAAATTGCACAAACAGCTGTTAAATCATTGCGACGAAAATATCAAGTAAATGAAGAAAATTTTAGGAATCAAACCTATTATAATGCTTGGGATTAAATTTGTTAATATTAGAAAGCTTGCTAAAGAAGTTACATAGATGACATTTTTTCAAAAGTTTTTAAGTGTTAATACTACTAAAGATACCTTTGAAAAAAATATATTAAAGTGTTTGAAGAAGTGTGTGACGATTTAGATTTACTATTGATATTTTATAATGCCGAACAAAGAGAAATAGAAGAAAAATATGTGGCTGAAAACTTTGAGACTTTGAAAAAGTATTGTATTGTTGTAAATTTTTATTTTTTTATTTTTTTATACTAATTCATATTGATTGTATAAATATCTTTTTTTTTCTCTAACATATTTATATATGAACCTCAATAAACTCAATAAACGTATTATAGTTGATGGATGTCATGAAGGATGAAATTAATGTTGAAATAAGATTAGCAATAACGGAAGTTACTATGTTGAAATCAAAGCAGACGATCTCAATTTATAAATAATAAAAAGTTACAAGGATAATGTGAAATTTCAATGAATAAATCGAGACCTCTGTTTTGAGAGTACCAAACTCCCAAGATAGATCAAATGAATTAAAAGATCCATATACTTGCAGTAAAAAAAATTTCAGAGGAGTTTAAATGTTACTCAGGAAATATTCAACAAGCAATTTACACAAGAAAACAATTGGAATTCTAAAATTAAGTATATGTCCGTATATTATCAACTTATGGAGTTTCGCATTTGGATAATAGAGATATTATGATTTACGAGTGGGCTGCATTTGTTAATCTACGAAATTTATTTAAATTTTGATATCGGATGGACTACAAAATTGCAGTTTGCACGTGATATATTTACCGATGTGATATTTATCATATGAAAATATCCTGGTATGTATACGACTATTTGATTAATTTTATTGTTTGTTCAATTGGTGACTAATAGTCTGTTAAATTTTTTTAACTTATAATTTCTTTACATTTACTTTACATTTATAATTGATATTTTTGTTAGCAACAATTGACTATTTTTTATGGACAATAGGCCACAGATAAATATGTGCCTAAAATTTCAATTTTCATAATATGACAATTTTTGACAACGCATTTTAAACATTAACAGTTGATGATATTCTTCTATGCTTAGCACGAGAAGAACTGAAAAAGGTGTGCAAAGACATCAATGTGAAATGTACAGGTAATGAATATATTACTTAGCATTAATAATGTTTTATAAAATCACTAACGCAATGCTTTTGTGTATAGTTTTGGAATGATGCTTTAGGAACTTTGTCATCAAAGATTTCCTAATCAAGGCATGGAAGTGCTTGATATCAAAGAACATGTTTTGAACAAAAAACGAGAAGTTCTTGAAAATACTCTTTGTCCATCACCAATTCAGAAATAGCGTTATAAACTTATCCAAAATGGTAAATGTAATGTATCTTTATAATTATACATTTATAAATTTAAAATCCATGTAAAATTAAATTTCCATTTAATCAAGCTTGGGAAGATGAGCAAGTCCTTCGGATATAGAAATGCAACAGAAACTTAAAGACCTTTTTAAAGAACATGTATTTTCTAAAAGAATTTCACCTCAGATACATCCCAGAAAAGTTAATTTTAGTGATATCTCAAATTTCGAATTTTAAAATAATTTACAAGAAAAAGTTTGTATTAGCTCTGATTCTCAACAATTTTAATAGACAATTTGAAATATCTAATGAATGTTGCAAATTCAATTCGGATAATTCACTACGCCTATGATAAAACCCTTAATAATACCTTTTAAAAATGGAACAGTGCTCACAAAGAAGAAATTATGATTTTGCTTGGGTGCGTTTTATGGGCCATGCAAAATTTGGTAATAATATAGCAAAATATTGGAAAGGATATTATTTATTGAAAAGACTGGTTGTAGAAATGGATTAGGATACTGCAATTAAGCTCTTTAAAGAAGCAGCCATAATGATGTTCTTGATGCTCAAGTTCGATATGCATTTTGTCTTCTTGAAGATAAAAGCAACCTGAATGTGTTGGGAATAATTAAGTATTTGACTATGGTAGCAGACAATGAGCAACTTATAGCAACTTTTTAACTTGGGTTATATTTATATATTTATTGGAATGGAAAGCTTGGAGTTCCAATTGATAAAATAAAAGCAAAATCATATTAAATTGGGCTGATTGAAAAACCAAGGCTATTCTATTTTTGAAAAAAGTCAGGGAAGAAAATGCCAAGTAAATTTACTTTAATGGTCAGATTTAATAGTAGGTAAAGGATATTTCCTCTTCAAGAATTTTAAATATTGTATTTATTGATCAAATAAATTAATAAATCTAAAATTTCATATGTTTATAAAAATTTAAACTTTAAGAAAACTTTAATCTAACGTCAAATTTTTTTTTTTTTTAACTTTATAAAACTAGATCAATAATATAATTTTCAAAAGCTTAATTAATAATCTTATGAACTTAAAAGAAGCTTATTACAATAACTTTTAAAAACCAAAATTTCTATAAATACGATCAGATGCACTATAAGAATCAAATAAATTTAAACATTAAACTCTAATCTTTCACACGTGGATAAAGTATCTAATTTTAAATCTAATTTGAATCTTTAAATTCAAAAAATATTATTTTGTTAGAAATTAGTTTGTTAACATGTTAACTTAAAAAGAAGCTTTTCTTATACGTAATATCATACCATAAAAGAGATACTACAAATGAGTGTCGCCAAAAGAAACCCCGACAATTTAAATATAGTCTATATTTAAATTGTCGGGTTTTCTTTTGGCGACACTCAAATAGAATCATATTAATATTCTGTTTATAATAGATGGTTAACGTTCGTTTGAGCACGGCATAATCGAAATACCTTTGCAAAATATTCTTTCTTTAGCCAGCTGGTATATATGTGTCTTCCAATAGAATAAAATTGTCTTATAAGTAACGATTTGGACTGATTAAAAAAGACATTACTAGTACAGTAGTACGTGTAATAATTGGTTAATCGACCCTGTTTCGAAATAATATTTTGTTATTCCCTTTCTCGCCTCTTAAAATAGTACTCTTTAGTAAACCAAATTATTTCAAGTATCAGTTAACCTAGATTATTTTGGGTCAACCGGTTGACATGTTATTTCCTCTGATTTAAATATTATCAATTAATCTTAGTAATAGAGAGTTTGCCTCGCTCTGATTCTGGAACATATCTCAAATATCCATGAGCGCATGTCAAGCCGTTATTTTATCAGATAATATCAGATATTAATAGATAATTGATCTCGTATCATGAAAGGCAAATTAATTTCTTGAATAATTTCTTGTAAAAGAGATGAAATCATGAATATTTGAATCATCCTATGATTCAAATCATTATTGGTCTTTGTTCAATAAACAGATTATGAAATCCGTTGGCATAGGTGATGCTTGTGGGATATTTATTGCGACTATTGTTATTCAGAGTCAAAAAAAATGTAGAGGTAATTATTAAGTAGCTGAGAAATGACAACAGAATACTTAATTTAGTGTTTATTACAAAAAAGAATTAAAATCAAGAATACTAAAGAAAAGTATTAAAATGGCACATGAAATTCGCTAATATAAATGATAACCAAGATCAATTTTAGCAAATTAAGTCATTCAATCCATCGAGGAACTTGGCATTCACAGTCGCTTTTTCATGTGCATTTTTACAAGTAGAATGATATACTAATTAATACTATAAATAAATGCGACCTATGATGATGATGATGGTAGCATCAATATATCTTGACCGACTTGGTTATAGACATTTAATATTACTTTATTCCAGTGCCATAATTGAAGGGTTGTTAATCAGTCCCAATCGGTCGAAGTAACCTACCTTGAAGAATGCCCGGGAAGAAATTTTATTAATAACTTTTTTTTTAAAAAAAACTGGCAAGTTGCTTAGAACTTGTGCTAATCAAATTAATCAAAGGACCGATTTAATTAGCATCGGTCCCAGCAAACTGCTAGTTTTTAAGATGATTTTTTAAAAAAAGGTTATTAATAAAAATTTTTCCCAGGCATTTTTTCTAGATAGGTTATTTATTAGAGATGTGTGATTATACTTCTCTTGGACACGATAGTATCTCATAGCGTAAATACTTTTAGCAACTCCTAGATTTGCGTGATGAACTGAGATACGCGCAAACCGCTCAAAAAATTTTTCGCTTGCCGTTAAACGTCTATATATAAAAAAAATCACACTGAGTGTGTAACATGGCGCAAAATTAAAATTTTCAATTATATAGTCATAACTAACCATTTTTAGTAGCTTTTTAGCCGTAAAACGTAAAATTTTTTATGCTATTCTACTACGCTTTAAGAAACTAATCACAATTTTTATTTGGGAATATAAAAACTAACATTAGGCGGGTTTACATTTAACGCTTTAACTAAATCTTGAAGACAAAAAAAAAAAAAAAGCAAAATTTCAAAAAAACAGGTTAAAAAAAAAAAGAGAAAAACAATTAAAAAAAATTGGCTTAGGAAAAAAAAAAAAAAAAGTAAAATTTCAAAAAAAAAAAAAAAAAACGGGTTTAAAAGAAAGAGAAAGAAAAAAATAATAAGAATTAGCTTAGGAAAAAAAAAACTTAAAAAAAAGACCTCTTTCCTATTTTTTTCGATGTGACGATCCTTTTCAAAAAAAAAAAAGCTCCGTATCGATTTTCAATTTGCGTCCGTTGATTGCCTCACGTTAGAAAATTTAATTAATGCGCATTTTTCTTATCACTAGTTGGTAGGCTTGTGTTTAATAGTGTTAGTTATGTATAGATTACGTTGTTAGTACGTACGTATATACAGTATAATAGGACGTTTCTAATATATATTGACGCCTATCTTGATATTTATAAATCATTTAAACTCCCAGCTCTTTATAATAAACCCTTGTTAGGACGATCTTGATTACGTATTGTTTAAAACTTATCAGCTAACCAAATGAGGGTTTACTAATTTCTCCCACCAGTTCCTATTGGACGAGTACAGATCTCATTTCCGATTGGAAAAAAATAACCTATGTAATTATACCACAAAAAATTTTCCGGTCACATGACTTTATCGTGGCGCAAACCAATTGAATTTCAGGA